CGCTCGATAAGCACGACTGCCAACGCAATGCCACTAGTACTTGCCAGTGCTTGCCAGTGCGTCGACTTGCACCCGCGTGCTGGTCCTAGGAGCTCTAGACTATGGTGCGATGCTGCTTGCCTTTCGTTGACCTGAGTAGTTAGACAGTCCCAGACTGCTACCCGCGTAGTGGATCTGGATGAGTACAGTGTACAGAAGTAGGAAAACGGCGTTTCACCTTGTCTCACCACTTCACGTATTTTCGGATAGTTAGTGGGGCCCTGCATGGATTGGCTGACTGTTTTGGCCACGTTTGAAAGAAGCAGTCAGATGATGCCAGATGAAAGAACGAGGTCTTTGCAGCACGCGTCAACTGGTTGCCTCTCCTTGAAGCACGTCATGCTTAGTTCGCTTTGCTGAGCTGTTGGTGAGCTGAGTAAGAGTGGTGTGCTTCATGTGTGACCTCCCCCCCTGGGGGAGGCACGTGAGGTGCATACCTCTTGATGCCCCCCTTTTGAACCCTGGTTGTCGCTTCGCACTGTCCTTCATTCTCGGTCTTGTGGAAATACCGAGTGTGACGTCTGTGGTTTTCCCATTTGTTGCCTACCAGGTTCCGCCTTCAATGCTGCCAGCCGTCAAGCTTGCTACCTGACTCAATGTGTCCAATTTTGAATCCTATGGACCATACCAATGCACTCGGATGCACCCCGAAAGGTGCATAATGTTTTCGTGAAGAGATTTTACCATGTCAAGTTGCAACACTTGGCCGTATTACCTTCTTACAAAGTGCCAATGGATGCACAGTGATGCCCACTGCCGTGTGAGCATTGCCTGGCCTCTACATGTCGTGTGCACACGTCCCTGCCTCCTCTCTGCATTTCGTTGATGGACAAGAACTACTGAGTGCACTTTGGAATTCATCGCCCCTGTTTCACTTATCTTCATGCCTTCATGGCCTTACGAGTTACTCTACAGGTTGCCCCTGCGGTTTTTTGTTTGGGTTTTGTTTGTGGGTGGTTTTGTGTTGGTTGCTGGTGGTTCTTTTTTTGTTTGTTTTGCCTCGCAACCTGGCTGGTAACTCGATCTTAAATCGACTAAGGTGACTTGTGCAAAACCTGCACACACAGCGCCTCCATCCGTGCAAAAAAAATGCTGGAATAATGCTGCTTTGAATGCCTTCTATGGCAGACAATTTTGATTTAGCAGACTTCCGACTGAGCATCAACCCTCTCTTTTGAAGCAAGGCGGGCTGTTCGATCGCCCTTGTGCCATGAATGAAGATGATTTTGTCAATCAAAGGGCAGTGATTCTCCTTCGATGCAAAAGAAGCACAAAAACCTGATGATTACGTACTGAACGCAAGGGAAGAATTCAGTGCCCCAGGCCGTATTCCGTTTCACCACTTTCAGGCTGACTCAGCCATCCTGAGATATGAACCGTGCCATGGTTGGTGGGGTTTTGTCGTTTTGTTTGTTGTTGGTTTCGGGGGTTTTTTTGGTTGCTTCGGTTTCGGTTTGCTGGCCGGTTCATTTCTCTTTCTTTTACTAGCTTAAGGTGACTTGTGCATAACCTGCACACATAGCGCCTCGACTCGTGCAAAAAATTTGCTTGTTTCTGTTCGCCCATTGGAGACTCTTCCTGGGAGGGGGTCGCGGCGCCTTCTGCGTGGGCGGCGGCTCCGCTCGTGGGGGGGGTTGTGGGTGGCGCCCGCAGCCCGCAAGACAAACAACCAAAAAATATCGGAGTCACAGTGTTGGTGGTTTTCCGCCAACAAATGGAAACCTTGCCAATCACGCTCTGCAACAGTCTGCTTCGCTCGCTGGGAGTCTGGAATCACGAAGGAAAGGAACGCAAAACTTTAGTGTCACGGATAGATTGTCCAGTCTTCCTGCAGCCCTCCACCTATTTCAAGACTCTCAAACACTCATCTCACAATTGATGACTTCACAAGAGCGCATCGGTTCAAACAAATCCCAACACACACAAGCAACAAGATGAGTGTTGCTGAGTGCACACAGGATTTTTTTTGCGCACAGCAAAGCCAGTCAGAGTGTCGACAACGCGCATGTACACACTCTACCACGGCCTTTGTGCTTGCCTTTGCAAGGCAGCAGGATCGGCTTTGCTGTGGCAGGCAACGACAAGCGAGCGCGCTGCATTTTTTTGTCTACACAAACACAGATCAACTCTCCACAGCCACAGTCTCAATGTCCATGGCCTTCAAGACCTCCAAAAGCTTTGCCCCTGGGCCCTCATTGCAGGTCATCGGACAGCTGCAATCAGCTTCGTTTCATGACCCTTGCGTTCTTCTTGTCATTCCATATTTGGGTTCTGTCACGCGCTGAGTCATTGTCATTGTTGACTGGCTCTTGGAGCCTAGATTTACCCCCTGCTGAATTCAAATGTCCTGCCTGGCAAAGCCCTGTGCATGTGACGCAACAATTCCGAAACCCAAGACTTGGGGATTGTGATCAGACACAGCTCTCAGTCAAGCGTGATGAGTTCGAGGAAAATTTCAATCTCGGATCCGCAAGAAAATGCAAGAAGCAGATGCGCGGATCAACGAAAAATTTGTCTCGTTTTGAGACTTCTGAGACTGTCTTCAGCCTGCCGCAGTGGTGAATTCACCGTCAATTTCGAGGGTTTCCGAAAGAATCCAGGCGGCGCATCAAGTCTGTACAGTGCATTTGAAGGACAGTGGAATTCAGTGAACCATATTCTTATGCAGCGAAGCCTACCGGAAGGAACAAGAAACCATCAACAAACTTGCCGCACCTGGGGTGCTGCCCTATCACATCGTGTTAAGGCACCGTTCCACATTTAGGCCGGCTGGGATCGAATAATCGCCCTCCGGCTAAAGTACATTTCTTTCTGCGAATTGCAACAATCAATGTCTATTCTGACCCGGCTTTGCTGCGCGCAAAAAAACACCCTGTGTGCACTCAGCAACGCTCATTTTGTTGCATGTGTTTACAAATCCTTGCAGTTAGTGTTGGGATTTGTTTGGACTGATGCGCTCTTGTGAAATAATCAATGTCGAGATCTGTGTTTGAGCATGGGTCGTCGCAACAAATTTGGGTCTTGTCATGCATTCAAACAATTTTCATTGGACACATGCTGCAGACGAACCGCATGGTTTGCAATTTCATTTTGCGCTTCAAAGTGGTTTGACATGGTGCAGTAGGTGCATTGAACAAGTGAGACCACGTGCAGCTTGTGCTAATCAAACTTTTGTTCCAGAGGCAAGGGCCTGGGATCACATTTCTCAAAAGAAAGTGGTGGATGTCGAGCATCATGATTTGAACCTTTGAGTGACTCAGCATGTCACTGTGATGTTCCCCATGTTTCGGTTCATTACTTTGTTGATGAAGTTCGGACAGAAACGCGATGTTCCGACAGAGTCTGCTGCTCAAATTAAGCTGATGCAAGCAAGTGATCACTCGTGCAACGCAGTTTGACTAAGTGACTAAACCTGTGAAAACAACACCTGTCAGATGAGCCATGGCGTATCTTGCACGTGTTGTGTTTCTCATGAAATGGTTGGTTGTTGGTTTGCCAGTCTTCCAAGCAGAAATAAAGCACTTTCCAAATCCTTGGAAATAACTAAGCTGCACTGCTACTGCTGTTCGGCCATGGCCTCCGGGACGATGTCCAAATTGCAGAGACTTGCCAGGTGAAGTGGATACAATCAAACCACCATGCATGTCTGTTTGATTTTGGGTCCGGTGGGATCCACCGGTGATCAATCTTGACCCGGTCTCAAACAAAACCCACATATGAACTCATTACTTTGTATTGAAACAATACTTGTTTGAACTGCCCACACTCAAACGTCCGGAAACTTGGGACCAAGTAGGTACATTAAAGAAACAAACAACCATAGTAGCTTGGCTAAAGTCACCAAGGAAGTTCTTGGACGAGGATTTTGCGTCCACGATCAACCGCTACGACGAGCTGTGGGTTGTGGAGGACTGGGATGATCAGCCCGTGTGGGGGTTGCCTGCAAGATCTCGAAGTTATCCTCAGTATCCAGGAAGGAAATTGAATTTGGTCCACGACTTGATGACTGCATTTTCATAATCATGATATTTTCACTTTCAGCAGATGTGCATCTCATTTATTTTGTCCAGAGGATCATTTCATCCAGCTGTTGTTTACCATCCCATGTGTCAAAATGTTTTGTGTCGTTTGTGATTCTTGAAGGTTATTTGCAACAACCATTTTTTTGCTTGCCTCTGCTGCCGTGGTGTGACCTTGACTGAGGATCCCGAGGAGACTCCTTACAAGAGCAAGTATGCTGCCCGGGAATTGCTCGAGACTTTAGCGCCTCAGCTTCGACGCATCGATGCATCGATAGTCGATAGCCATCCAGCTAGCCAGCCATTCAGCCAGCGAGTGCCGGAAGCGCTCTGAGTCCAAGAAGCCCTGAAATGAATGGATGGATTTTCACTTGGAGAACCCACGGATCAGTTGGTTGAAAGGAATTCTGCGCCGGGCCAATGCCTGTGATGGAATGACCATGGAGAACTCTCAGGTATACATTTTGACAGTTGATGAATCAGCCCCAATGTGGACTATGGACATGTTCATATGTGTTGGGGTGGGGATTATGAACCAAGAGTCAAACCTGAGGGGCTTACGGCTCCTTTCTGGGGTGGCCATCAGCTGAGTCGGCACCACTTAAGGTGAAGGACCTGGAGCAGCTGCTGGCCGAGCTGCCCGATGACTCTGACGCCCAGCGCGGACGCGAGGTCATGGCCAGGAGAGGGGAAGACATGCACACTTGTCCTAACATGTGGATACTTGTGGTATGCAGAGAAGGAATCGACCTTGGTGGTGTACACAAAGCTTCATTCTGGAGAAGCTTCATTGTTTTCAAGAGCTCTTGATCTCTTGATGCATCAAAACCAAGGTTAGAAGAACATGACTGCCCGGGTCGCACACCCTAGCAGGTCGTGACCCGACTGCGCAGGTCTTGGAAGGGGATCGCTCGGCCCATCGATCGGCCGAGCTGCACCAGGATGTTCCTCTTCCTTGGCAAGAACCTCTACTATTGTGAGGAGGTGATTTCTTTGGGGTCGCTGTGGATAGGCGATCTGGAACGCCACCAACATAAGTAGATCCAGATGCCAAAGGAGTGACTTGGCCCTGGTCACCAGCTTTGGAATCAAGGCGGAAGAGGTCTCTTGGGGCGATTGATGCATCTTGGGGGCCTGGGGGCATCTATTTTCGGGCTTTGCAAAGGTGGTTTGGTCTTTTGAGAATCACGGACATCAACATGAATCCACCATTAACATACGGAGACCTCCAGTCTGACCCCCTACAAGGTTGAATAGACCAGTCTACCCAGCCAGGGACATCAGTCACCAACGCTCGATTTGAAATCGCTTGGTCTTTTGTGTCGCCAGGTTCCTGGTGCTGAGAAGTACTTCATCCGGTCTTTGGAGCGCTACCTGCGCTCGCCCCTGCGCTTGACCCCGGAGCCCTTCTGCTTCATCCAGGTGGAAGAAAAGACGTAGTGGATATGGGTCATGGGCGTGCTGAAAAGGGAACGTGTCATGGTCCAACACCTGATTTTTTGGTAGAACGCCAAGTAGACCTAGGTTCTTGTCAGAAACTTGGGGCGTGAAATACTGAAATACCTGAGTGTCATGACCGTCATTCCATTTTGTGTGCTTTTCCATCTACAAGCAAGCACGCGGCCTTTTGAATGAGATCCCAAAGTTGTGACTAGGTTGGTCCCTTCATCTACTCATCGAGGGCTCTTTTTCCCATGTTTGGAGGACAATCTTACCAGGACGAACTGAGCGCCTGGACTTGCCCCCACACCCGAGAAGACAAGCAGTAGAAGGAGAAGAAAACCAACCGGGCTGGGGGTGTCTAATGCAGCCGTTGACACTGTGCATTGGACTGACAGAACGGCTGACAGGCAGAAGGCTTATCTAGCAGGAACAGAAAGTGCAACAGTTTCCGGCTGGTTAGTTGAAAAAGTGGATGCCCTCCTGATAGGTCGTTAAAATTCTTGAGAAGAGCCCAATCTGTAAAGCTTTTCCTCGATTTGGACCGCTGTGTGGTTGGTTTTTTGAGTGAAGTTTCTGGTCTTGCAACTGCAGAGGATGGCCTTGAGAAGTGACGAAAAATGGGCACTGAGAAGGTGAAGATGAGGTCTCCCAAGTCAGGGTTGCTCAGTGTTTTCAGGTAGAGGATTCGATAAATCTTTCAGACGTGTTCACCGCCCTGTTGGCCGGTTGCCCATGGCCCTGGGCCTACACAGCAGAATAAGAGTGGCGTGGTGCCCCTGGCCACGATTGGCTTTTTTCGACGGAACCGGAACCGGCAGGACGTTTTCAACCAACTGGGCATGCTTTGGTGCAATCGCGGTGGGCATAAAGCCGGTCTCCTCAGATCTGCATTTGGAGAGCATGGGGGAGCGGAGTGACAGTGACAGTGTTCCGGTTCCAAGGAGAAGCAATGCATCGTCTTGAAATAACCATACTTACTGACCTTCTTGTAGTCTATGACATGACCTCCAACAGGTCCAACAACCGGTTTTGAACCGTGACTCAAAATATACACTTCATCCCGCCCGAAGCTCTGCTTATACGATCTCTTCCAGAACACGATCAGTCCTTGGATTTGTCCTTGAACCCCTCCCACGGCCCACGGTCTCGGCGCTGAGGAGGGGATGAATTTCCTTCGGAGGGCGCAGGTGATGTACCACCAGCGACCTGATGCAGTGCGAGAAAGCTGCGAAGAACGCTGCGAAAACAACTACACCATGACCATGCCCCTTCGGTGGCAACTAGATCATGCAGCTGAAGGTGAGACAAACGTGCCACGACAGTTGCTTGCGCATGTGTTTCAAGGATTTTGCGAAAGATTGAAACTCTTTTCCTCGCACGAGTTGAAGGAATTCCCTATTCTGCCTCCTCGCGCTTGTCACTGTTGGGATCCCAATCTGACAATTCCAAGATCCTTAAAAAGATCCATGTCAATCCCCATGATGATGGCATGCCACAGACTCGTAGATGATTGATTGCAGCTGGAGACCCTGAGATTTGCGAGATTGTGATAGGCAGTTAGCATCGACAGAATGGGGCTGGAGCTCAGTCCATTCAGTCCACTGTTGCGGTCTAGACCTGTTAGGATTGGGAGGGCCTCCGATCGGCCGATCGACATCGATGTCTGCAACGAGGTTCTTCCTGGCACAGGCGGGGTGTGGTTCTTTGAGAGAGATCACAGGGTTGTCGCTGAGCAGAGAATCAGCGCGAGGTGGGAAAGCGACTTTAAATTGCTAACATTACAGGTTGTGAGCCTGCAAACGAGGGGAATCCTTGCAGTAGATTCTTTTTGGCAGCAGTGCTCGTGTCTTGGGTTGATCTTTTTGACGTGAAGCCCTCTTGATTGCAACATCTCACCGAATACTGCGTGTCAAGGATGTCCGAAGAAACCAAAGCAGTATAATTGCACACACCGTCTCTAAACTCTGCAGAGTATTTGACTGCTCGCAGGGTCGAGTTGTACAGGGAAATCCTCGCAACTCAGTCTGTGACACACTGTGAGTGTGGAGGATTTGCACACTGTTGTTCCAAACAACACTGTATGTAGCAGACCTGAATCATGTAATCAGTGAACAATCTATGCACTGATCACTGTCATCAGTGACCAGTCTATCCATTGATCACCATTTGGTGCAAGACATCCTTGAACGGAGAGAGAGAGAGAGAGAGATGTCCATAGACTTAGCCACTATATGGTTCATCTGAAAATGACAATCCACGAGCCCTTTCCTCCTCACTTCCCATGACGGGTATATCTAGCGCCCTTCAACAACGGCTCGGGGGTCTATAGGGTGAGGATCACACTAGAGGAGCCCCTATCTCGTTACCTTTTCCTCAGGGTATAGCTAGAGCCCTTCAACCATTACCCTAAGACCCCCCGCAACGTGTGGCGCCACTGGCGACAGCGTTTATGCAAGCGAAGCCGTCTGTGCACAGGCGACAAATGTAAGACTCTTTCAAAAAAAAAATGCTTAGAATTAGAAAACCGGGTTCGAGAGGCAACCCACCACCTTGCCCCGGATGGGGCCGTGTTCTGCGCGTGACCGCGTGACGACGACGAAGACGACGACCGCACGACACACTTCTTTGTGTTATTTTCTCAAGTGTTTCTAGAAACGCAAGACAATTTGACCTGAAATGGCACAACTTTTTCTTTAAGTTCTTTAAAGTAACTCTGTCACAATTTTTGTTTGAGGTACACTTTTTCCACAACACTGGTCGACCAACCGCATCCTTGGAAGACACAGTGCAAACTCTCAATTTTGGGAATCGCCTCCTCCGGCTGATCTTCCAGATTGTTTCGTCGCAACGTTCTCCATCTCCCCGATGGTTTCCGGAAAAATCTCCCCCCCTGTAGGGGGTTTGACAAGCCCTGGATGGTTGCACTGAGTCACCAAGGAGGCACCCTGATGGGTTTTGGACACATCGTTTTTTTTGTTTTTGTAAAAGAAACAGACCGGCGCAGACCCACGCTGCCCATGTCTCTTTTCGTTTTGAGTGCATGTTCTGGACGCGGATGACACAATTCAGGATTAATTTCCGGTAAGGTTCCTTTGTCATCTATGAAGTTTTGGAGTGGGAAAAATCATCTGCCAGGAAACTCTCACAAAAATTGCCGAAACCAACCTGATTCATCAATGGCTTGTCTTCCTTTCCTCAGAGTGCTCATGCTGACTGCTCCTGCACGAATCAATTCGTGAGGCGTACGGCGCCCTGCAGAAGCCGAACCTGTCGGCTCGCTTTTGCTGCGAAACCATGAGCCGCCAGCTGGAGGCCTGAAACGCCCGCCCTTCGCGTCCGCGCGCGGTTCAAGGTGGTGCCGAAGTTGTTGGACGAGGCACTGGACGAGGGACGTGACAGAGATGTTCACGGATCATGATGGATTCCGAGGGTGACTCAAGATCTCATCGGAAAAACAAGAAACTCTTCGTGCTCGAAGATCTCATCGGGAAGAAAAGATCGGTTCAATGGATTCAGGCACTTTCTCCTCGCACGCGAGATCCTCACCTCAGGAAAAGAATCTTTTGAGACCTTTGATTTTCTTCCCTTCTCTCAAGAGATTGGCTGCCACCCGGACTTTTCCAAGGATTTGAATCTCCCCCCCAAAACAGACACCGATGAACAAATCAGGCTCGCACCCACTTCCCATCGCCCCTCGCCCTCTCCGTCCGTCCCTCTCCCTCACACCGCAGTCGAACACCTCTGGGCAGCGCAGCCCGGAGATCAAGGAGCGCGATCCCTTCGATCCCAAAGACTGGATCAGGTGCGGACGACCTACGTACGACGTACGACGTACGACGTGGAGTCCGGCGGGACAGGGACGTTTGGGACGGACCTCGGCGGCGGAGGTGAGCGGCTTCTGAGCGGATGGGGGGTTTCACCCACGTGGTGGGTTGGACGTGGCGATGTGGTATTGGGATGTATTGGGATGGGTCGGATGCAGCTCTCGGGCACTGCCGTTCGCTGTCGTTGCACTGTCGCCGTCGTCCAGGAATTGCTGCGCCATGTCGGACTTCTTTGTGAATGAGGGCATGTTCTGGACGGCAGAGCCTTGGAGTGGATCGACCTCTAAGCGAAGTCTAAGAACTTGCGCTTCGCTTTGCGTTTTTGGTCCATTAGTCTTCATGTATAGTATAGCCTTTCTCACACTACTTTGGGACTAGGAGCTCATTTTTAGGGGCTCCAACTGTTCTGAAGAAGTCAGCAATTTGTGAGCCCTGGAAAGGAATACTTGCTGCACTCTGGCTTGGTGATGTGTGAGCGAAGCCAAGAGATGGCTGGAATGGAGCCGGAGAACCTTGCGGAGCTCCGGGCCGAGTGTTTGCGGGACATTGGAAACATGTGCCTGGGACCATGCCCAGTCTGGAGAACGGCAAGGAAACAAACATGGTCATGTGAAGGATTTACTGTACACGTGTAGCTTTTCAAAGCTCATCAAAGTCTACCTACCTGCAGTATCCTATAGAGTTTTTAAAGGGGTGCTGTGTGGTCTTTTGCGGCTTAAGATGCTAAGCTCTCCTCTGTGGACTGTCCGGGACCACCCTGCCACCCGTGAGGTATGCGACGCGCCTCAAGTTCGCGCGCGCCTGCAGCGAATGTCCCGATGCTTGGGAGGAGGCCCAACAGGGATGGCGAGTCCCATGACGCGCGTTGCGCGCGCGCATGTGAAAGAAAGCAGCTTGCTTTCGGGTGTCAGGAGAGGTGTCAAGTGTTTTTCCATGTGGCAGGGCTGGTGGCTACTTTGGAATGGGCTGGTTTTGAGGTAGGCCCAGGTAGGCTGCAGGTGTAGGAAATACAAGAGGGTTGGTTCTAGTAGCAGGAATGGATGGGGAGAACACCATACTTGTAAGTAAGTGAGGCAGTGAAGAACACCAAGCATGATAGCATCATCCAAGTGGTCTTCTGTGAAGATGCCATCTCACTTAGCTTCCCTACAGTCAATGTGGCGGGGAGGAAACTAAATAACTATATAACATATTATGATTCGAAACATTTGAACATCTAAGAGCATTTTTCCTTTGCAGAGCAGGTCTTTTCAGAGTTTCAAGTGATTCCTTCGGTCAATTCCTCCAAACCAGATGCTCTCGGCCTAAAAAAATAACCAACATCACCGCCGCGGGCCGTGCAGGTCTGGCGGGGGGAACGCAAGAAGGCCGAGGCCGACGCGGCTTCTTCCGTGCCGGACGAGGCCAGGTTCCCCGATGCGGGGGAAGAGACCCCCCCCTCGTCCCCCCGACGTACGACGGGGCTCCTTTGCTCCGCCAGGGCACCCGGCTCTGCTTCCGCGTGGCGGCGGACCGCGAGGAACGGCCGCCCGAAGGCGGTGAGGGGCCCATCCTTTGGGACAAAGTCTTCCCAGAGGCGCGGGGGGCGGGTCGAAGCCGGAGTGGGCGAAGCGGGTTGGAAGGAGGTGGCCAGACAGGCGAAGCCTGTGAAGTGGGCACATCAGACACATGGGTTCGGCTGGATGTCGAGGGAAACGACTTGTAATGACCTGAGCTGTTGAGATCTGTGTGTGACCACAAGGATTTGATCCTTTCCTGCTTCAAAGTTTTCAAAGGCGTCCGTTTTCTTCTTGCATCCATTTAATTGGCTTCAGCATTTCCATCAACTGACATCAGCCACAAAGATCTTGACCGAAAAAACTGTCACCTGCAGGGGAGAGGGAGAGGGAAAGGAGGGGAGCAGGTGAGTAGAGGCTTTCGTGGGTTTGGGACAAGGTGAAAGATCAAGTAGTCAGTAGTCAACTCTTTGGCTAAGGAAGATCTCTCCCATTCGTACACACAGAGACGCATCCATTCGGTGAAGTGGATCGGTTTGGCGGTTTCGCAGGTGGTCTACCTTGAAGATGATGAAGCTCAAGACAATCAGTTGGCCGAGGAACATGAGGCCGTCACGGACCCGAACCGAGAACGGTGGAGGTCACACGCTGAACGGGGCTGCCCTCTTCAGCCACGCGCGCGCTACCCAGCCACTGTTTTGAGGCCACGGATGAGCTCAAAGACTACGAGGAGGACGTTCTTTCGGTGGAGTTCTTTGTGCTTTTTGTTCTTTCTAAGCACCCAGATGTTGAATTGTAAAGGTTTGCCCACATTGGGCACGATGTTTGTCGGACCAAAAAAATGGTAGACACCGGTGCTTTGCAGTTGGCAGCATTTTCGGTGCCTAGCTGCGCACGGGTACCATGGCATGTTTTTGCTCTTCGCGTGCTGTTTGATGCCACACCGGTGCTTTGCCTGTACCAGGAGAGACTGCTGGTCCTGGGGCCCAAGGACAAGATTCTTTTGCCCGTGCACTTCAGGAGCGGGAAGATTGGGATCATAGGGCAGGGAAGCTGGAACAAATTACAAATCACAAATTCAAGGGCGGGGGCGGGTGGTGTTTCTTTTTTGATCTTTTTTGAATAGCTGTTGAGCTTGTTTTCTGCCACTTCAAGTCAGTCTGTTTGTTCCTTCTCTTTCTTGTTGCTGCTGTCTGTTGTTGGGGGGTGTTGGTCTCTGACCCTACAGTAGTCTGTTGACCACCAAAAGGCCAGAAAGGCCTGACAACAGCTTTAGCTGCAGAAACTTTCTGAATGACAAGAAGGCGCTCCTGTTCTTTTTGCCTCTTAAAACCTGCTACAAATCAGAAGAGACATAGACCAAACAACATACTTATCTACCCAGCCAGGGCCATGGCTTCTCCCAATCTAAATACACACCAATCAACGAACGTAGGTTTTGTGCTTCTCACCACGAAATCACCGGGCCGGTACGCTTCGTCCGTGCCCAGGCTGTTGCACGCTCATGCGCAGCGAAGGATGTGCCTTTTGACCGCGAACAGTTGGTGATTTCCGTCGAGCTTTTCGTGCTTCCCGATTCCGCACGACGGGTTTCATGGAAGGTCGTCGACTTCCGTTCGTCTTCACACCGGAACCAGGGGTGCCGGACCGGCGCCACGTTTTGGCGCCGGGGTGTGCGGGACGGGTCCGCAGGTAACGGACCGGGCGACCAACGAGCGTGGGGAGTGAAGACAGTGGTTTGACGTGGTAAACAAGAGATGCAAAGCCCAGTGGTTTTGAGTCGCTGGGAGTTGCAACAGCCAATTTTTCTGACCCCAGACAACCAACCAACCACGGACTAGACGAGACAACAAGACAGCCGGTCTTTTGTTCAGGTCTTGTTTGGTTATGAAGAGGACCTGGATTCCGTGAATTTGTCACTTCCCAGTGCAAGAAGACGTGCGTCTCCTGGAAGACTGAACTGAAGGGCTGCTGGGGATCCGAATAGCTCCTGAAAAAACGACTCGCAAGGCCCAAGGAGGCATCAGAACAGCTCGGTTTGCGTGTTGTTCTCAGAAGACGACCGAGCTATACTTCGTCTGTACTTCTTTGCCAGGAATGACCCAACTCCCCCTGGTGCAGAAGAGGCTTTCATCTTGCAACTTTCGGTGGCAATCTACTTCTTTTTTTTCTTCACCTCTGAGAACCCTCTGAGAACCGAAAGTGTTCTCTGAGAACCATCTTGCACTTTTATCTTCTCCACCTCTGAGAATCGTCCCTGTCCTCCGTGTTTCTCCACCTCGTCCCCGTCTAGGCCGTGGCAATGCGGGCTTTCTCGCGAGACGAGGACGGGCCGAAGAAATTCGGGTCGAGACGTCGGGTGAAGAAGTGATGCTCCCCGGAGGGCGAAGGAAGTGGAGGGCCCCAAGCAGGGGCAACATGAATGACACATGAGATGCTTGACTTGGCCAGCTTTTGTCAGTTTGCAGCCATCTTGGCTGATGCGGCTAATCTGGACCTGGACCATACTGATAAAGCCTCCAAACGAAAACCGCTGCAGGTGTCCCTTCGGGGTGTACTGTACACGTAGGAACGTTCCCAGCTGCTTGTGGCCAACGCCCAAGCGAAAGAAGACGCTCTTCAGGTTATTTTGCTTGATCCGATCAGAGGAGTCGGATCGTCATCACTGTTTGGGGGCCTAGTTGAGTCGTGACTGCCTTCGTGACTGGGACGTGGCGGAGCGAGGCGGAGCGAGGCGGAGCCTGGGTGCCTTCATCGAAGAACAAGTTGTTGGGTGCAACTCCTGCGACGTGCCGCAAAAATCAGATCGCCTGGAAGCTGTGACTCCTCAAATTAGGTGTTGGACGACTGAGGTGGGTTGGTGTACCGTGTGCAGGGTGGAGTTGCAACAATACATCCGATACATCGAAACTTGCGGGGCTTGGAGGAAGATGCCCATCCCTTTCTCCCAGCTTCATAGGTATGGGCCGGGACATCGTTCATCATTCCTGTTGCGTTGGACAAGCATTCTCTGGGTCAGAAATGGTCCGCCACTCCCATCTCAGCCTCGGCTTTTGTAGGAATCCCAACTGGGGGAGAAGTCCCTTCTCAGGCCCTCCTGCGTGGGAACCTCCTTCGAAGCCGCCCGAGAGGCCGGGGGCAATGATTGACATCAAAGCTGCTTGTAGTTTCTTTCTTTCTCTAAAGCCGAAGGCAGTGCCTGTGACTAGCTATTAGGTGGAGTGGATACGGTGGGCTTTCTGTGCTTGTAGTCCAGTCATAGATTTAAACACTGCAAGGCAAGGATGGTTTGGGTTGCGACTTTGGATGCTGACGGGTGGTTCATGGTTGTATCGAATTTGCACCCTGACCATAGGATGTTCTGGTGGTGTTGTGCAGCTCAAGAACTTATTCAACGGATCCATTCATCTGCAAATTGGTGTCTGGGAGACCAGAACTGTGCGGATGTCCTTCGGCTGTGGATTTGGAGTTTGAAGGATCCTTCACACATTTTCGATTGTGGAGGAGCTGCCAAAGAACACATCCCCAAAACATCTCATGCTGAGAAAACCATGGTGGTAGACTTAGGGTTCGGTCAATGGCAAGTAGTACAACATTGATCAGTGCATACCCTTACACGCTCTCCTGTTTTTTTGGGTGAGGAGTTTTTGATCCTCACAGTCGTCAAAGCCGCTGAGTAGCTGGGCCCTATAGGCCTATAGGTCTATAGGTATTTGAATATGTGTGCTGAGACACCCCATTGCATATTCTTTGATGCTTAGATCAAGACCAAGGAGGAACAGCCTTCCAGCCACCTCTCCAAAATCCCCAAAACTGGCAACCAGGGGCGGAAAGAAATTTCGACCAGGTGAGGTCGGCAAGGTGGCAAAACCAGGTTAAGTTTCCCTAAAGGTCTAGGAACGTGCGAGCGCTTCTTCAAGGAAGCTTCCCCGCCGCCCCAAAAGGGAGCTTCCTTGAAGAAGCGTGAGCTATCCTGCGTCCCAAGTAGTAGCTATTTAAGCTACGAGCTTCTCCCTTACTTGATTAAGTAGGTGTCTACTTAATTAAGTGGGGAGGGGAACGGGCTAAAAAAAGAACGGGAGCCCACACAGTCAGAGAGAAAGAGAGAGAGAGAGAGAGAGTTGTTTATTTTTTTCTGAAATGATGTGCTTTCGTTTCCGTGAGATCTTCAAGCTGGGCAACAGCTTCTTTGCCCTGGCCTTGGAGCACTTCCTGCTGGATGGATGGGTCACCGAGCATGTGAGGCCGAGGGGAATAAACGGGTGATGGGCACGACCCGGGTGGGAAAAACGGGGGATGTGTGAGTGAGGGAATTGGCTCGTTTAGTGTTTTGGACTCTCATTTTTTCGGACTGTACTCACTGAACTGGGTCACTCTTCCTCACTTTGTTTCACTAGCTTGCTTAGCAGCTTGGACGTTTTGATTGACTGAGCTTGGACGTCTTGGTTTTGTTCCAAGCCTTCCCGGCTTTGTTCCCAATTCTTCGGATGAAAAAAGGGGAACGGAACATCGGATCATGCTTCAGCCGCGAGTGAAGTTTTGGCCTGCGAATGGGGAGAAGTTTAGCCAAGAGAGCAAGACAAACTTCTCCAATTCTCAATCCACATTGTTTTTCATCGATTGGATGATCAGTGACGATTGGTGATGGACTCTTTTGCTTTTTGTTGCTGCGAGGATACTTCAGGAGCTCTCCTTGATGTATCGCACGCTTCAATTCTGGGAGCAGGCCGGCCACAATGCAATTTGCAAGTCTTTATGGTTCAGAGGAAAAGTATCATACTATCATATACTGTCTATAAGGCTACATTGGGAAACATCATGTAGTCAGTCCAATGTAGACTTACAGTCATCCTGGAGTATATATGATAGAAGATGTGATAATCCAAACACACATGGAAGACTGGTCCTGTTTTTGGAGTGGTTCAGGATGCCTTTCGTGGTTCAGCCTTGATAAGTCCACTGCCCTGGTGTCCATCCACCTTGATGTCGTTGAGACAGATCTGAGGGACCATGGCACGGACGGATGGACCATGGACCATTCAATGCACCAATTGGACAGATCCATCGAAAGGGGGGCAAAGCTGGGCAGGTTCCAGAGGATTCTGCAGAGTTCCACAGGTCTCAACGAAGATTCCCCAGTGTTTGGGGTTCCTTTTTCGCCTACGAAGGAGGACTTGTATTCTCCAGTGCGATAGGGAAACTTCTCTCTGCTGATGTGTGGCGATGGACTCACAAGAACACTTACTGGACTTTTTGAGACCACAAATCGCAGAACTCAGTTCTCCTTCGAAGGGCAATATATTGGACACGCAGGTGCTGTTTCTTTTTTGGGTGCCCTGCGGTTGGTTTCGGTGTGTGAAACGCTTGAGTCTGATCGTATTCTGCTCGTTTGCTTCTGCCAGAATCTGCCCGAACCGCCTCATGCCAGTCCCAGGATCCAAAGCGCTCCGCTGCCATGTTGAAGCGCCGCGCCCGGGTCCCGCGGGGGTGTGTGGGGTGTGTGGGGGGGGGGGAAAGACGGGGAACGGGACCCGGGAGGAGGAGGATGGAGACGGAAGATGAGGGGAGGCTTTCTGGCTGGACTGAGGTGGAGCATTTTTGGAGCATGGACTCAGAGAGGGAGCGAAGGGATCAGGAGCGCGCGCCAGCGCACTCCCCAAGGTTCCCCCGAACAGGGACACCCTTGATGTCATGATAGAACATCTGGAAAGAGAGCGAATGAGGGAGAGCGAGAGCGAGAGCGAGAGGGAGGGAGGGAGGGAGGGAGGGAGAGCCGGGGAAAAGTGGACATGAATCAATGTCAAAGGCATAATTTCGTGCTGTTTGGGTGCTGTTTGGAAGGTCTCTTTTTGGTGTGAATTGAATTGGCGTGTGCAATGGCGGCAAATGATGCAGCATTGTTCATTACCAACCCCACTGTTGGGGTGGTTCCTTCTAAGGGGGCCCTAGCATGAGTTTGTTTGTTTCTTCCTTCGGTC